GGCCGGGAGGGGACGGGAGGTGGTTTGGTTTTGAGCCAGTGGGGGGGGGACTGGAGGAGGTATGGTTTTAAATCGACAACGCAACCTGTTCAAGTTCGGGCACTGCTGGTCCGCAAGGGTCCGATTGACACGCTCCCGTAACGGATGCCGTTTTCATCCAAGAACGGGTCCCCCGTCCCTTTTTGACCCGTGTGTGCTGAGCAAAAATGCCCAAAGACGATCGATCCTCGTGAGCGCACCCAGTGTGGATGCAGAAGTAGGTTTAGACACAGTATGTAGGGAGCCTTGAGGCTGGAAAGGTCGAGTGTGGCTGCCCTGGGCGGCGAAGGAAGCAAACGGAGCTTGTTGTCGTCCTGCGGAGGAGTTCAGGTCCCCAGCAATGTCCGGGGTGGTTTCTTGCCTCCTCTGGTGCAGCAAAACCCTCGTGTCTGCCAATGCTTCTTGTCCTGTTGCTGATACAGGTGTGAGAAATAACCCTTTCCCTGCCACCGCAACCCCTGTCATCCAAATGATACAGTCCAAAAAAAGCCATCCCAGGCGCTCTTGTCCTTGCGTGGTGTAGACCCCATCTTCAGGAGGTGTCCTGTTGACCACCTCCCCTTTTGCCAGGGCGGGGCTGGCCGACCTGCGACGAGTGGCGTGGGTAGCGCAGAGTGGGGCTAGGCAGTGTGATGGCAGGGAGCAGAAAGCTGAGCAGCAGGTCAGACAGTTGCACAGGGTAGGGAGCAGAAAGCGAAGCAGCGGATGGATCGGAGGAAGAGGATTATAGTGGCATTTGGGGAGGGTGCGGGGCTGGTTTCCTAAAAGGTTGGACACCACTGTGCTACCGATTTAGCAGTCCCGGTGTAAATGCAGCAGTTGGTTTCGCGGATCAGTGATACAAAGAAAAAGAATACGTTTCTGCAGCTGGGAAAAAAAGAGTGTCAACACCATCCGGGTAGCACAAGGCTTGATGGATCAGTTTCCTTTATGAGAAGGGAAGTAGGGGCGTGCTGTTGTATGCCGTACAAATGGATGGGCACGAAGGCATAAACACCCTGTTGCATTGGTGCGCATTTGTTTGTCTCCGTCTGCAGCATTCGTCTCTCGGATACTAGTTGGAATCGTAAGATGCTCTTTGCATCGGTTTTCCTGGGGGTGGGGATTATGGTCATTATGCGTTCGTGGATGATGCTTTTCTAGGTGCTGAAACAGTGTTGTTCTTTTGTGGTTAATGGTAGTGTTGAATTTTCTTCTAGGTTTGAGATCCCAGTTCTGTTCTCCTGTCAGTGGGAAAGGCTCCCTTTTGAAGCAGCACATTCATTCAAGCACCATAGGTCTGACTTGCCAGCTTCAGAACCATGGCAACAGAAGAAAAGAAACCAGACGCAGAATCCACCAAAACACAGTCGACTCCTTCCTCTTCAACCAATCAGAGCAAGGTGTGTGTAGGTCTCTGAACAATATCTTGAGTCTGTAAATACACATGGGAGCTACCTATGGTTTTTTTTTTTTGTTTTTTACAAGCAAACTGGGATGAGGGATTTTAAGGAAAAGTTGAGTTCTGAAGGAATTTCTCGGGAATTTTACTGGGTTTGTATAGGGCCAAGAACATGCTGAAGGCTTTGGGGGCAAAACTGACTATGAGATTCCTGGATTTACCCTGAAGAGCTATAATTTTGTTTTGTCCGTATAACGTAACCTCTGCCTTGCATCACTTGAGTCCATTATGGTATCCTGAATTTTTGCAAGCAGTGAGAAAATTAGAGAGCATGTTACAGAACATGCTTTATTGTTGCAAGTGTCATTTGACCTTAAATCAAACGCTTCAGGGAATTACATGTAGCATAGTATATCTTGTAATTGTTGTAAAATGGTAGTGAGAGAGACTTATGAGTAATGTCACAATCCTCTCTGAGAAACAAAGATGTCAGGATTTCTTGAAATATTTAATGGAGTTGCCAGCTATCCAACAGGGATCCAGAAGGCCCGTCAGATGTTTGGTTTCTGTAACTGCTTCTGCTGCTAGTGACAGTTAACACAATCATTGCAAGAGGTCTGTCATCCCAGTGTCTGGGTGTTTTTGCTGAAATGATCACCAGCCAAAAAGGTAACACTGGTATGTAAAGATGACTTGCCAAGGAGAAAAATGGCCTTGTGCTCCTCCTATCTTATGATCATAGAGTCCGAAGTTCTTCTGTACCCATGGAGGACTGTAAGGAGATTAGAAAACTGATCAATTTGTGATATTTCAATGGAAGGGGGATGGAAATAAATAAAAAATCACCTGTATTCAGGCATGGAAAAATTTGATTGTTGTGGGAAGAGGATGTCCTCATTAAGGATTAACTCCCTTTTCCTTCCTCCATTCCTTCAAGGCGTGAAGCTTGCAGTGCCCATCTGAAATCCTGCTCTCTGAGAAGTCCTTCAGCAGCACTAGAAAAAGTCAGGTGTCCTGCTGAGGTTTAAGGAGATGCAAATGGTCACAACCCTAATTTTTAAAAGTGTTTGGCAGGTCACGTGTAAATCCTGTATGGAGTGTGGCTCAGCTCACGCTTGAGACTGTGGGCCAACTTGGATAGATTTGCATCTCAGATAAATTTAACTAGTTGTTTTGAGGATGTTTCTCTGTAGGTCCAGTAAAGCAGCGCTGAGCCAGATAATGTAGAAAATATTTTTCCCTGTAAATACGGGGCTACGCCTTTTCTTTTTTTAATAGACAAATCCAGACCGCTGTCAGTGATCATGCTGTACATCCCTGTGTCCTGGCTTGTTAGATATCCCAGTTAGAACTGAAACATTGAATTAAGTATCTACTTGACTTATTTGAACAAATCTTTCTTGCAGCCTGCACCTGTAAAACCAAACTATGCTCTAAAGTTCACGTTAGCAGGACACACTAAGGCCGTCTCGTCAGTAAAGTTTAGTCCAAATGGAGAGTGGCTAGCCAGTTCCTGTAAGTATCAGTCTGTCTTAATGCTTTCCTGTTGTCTGAATTGGCCAAATGTGGATCTGGCATGTTAGACAGCTTGCTGACCGTATCTTAGTGCTACCATGATCAGAGGGAGGGAGAAAACAATCGTCTAGCTCTTTAAGCTGAGTAAATGACAAAACACGAGCTGCTTAGTATTGTGTGTGTGTGTCATGGTGTATTATATCCTGGATTGCCTCTGCCCATTGCCAGACCAAAAGGGCTTGGGATGCTCCTCTTACACTGCTGCAGAAACACAGCCAGGATAACACACACAGATTGTGGATAAATGTGAAATTAACTGCAGTACAGAGAGGATCTCATCCAGCCCTCCCCGTTACTTAAATTCCAGCTTAAGCCTTTAAACTGGGCCTTGCTTGGCTTGATGCACATGCTGTCTGGCAGTGAATTTCACTGATCATTATTCTTTGTCTTCCTGTATTGGAATGGTAATAGGAAAGAGCCTTGGAGAGTCGAGTCATCTCCATTGCACTTTGTTACTTATAAGAGAGGAAGAGGCAAGAGGGACTTTGAAGGGAGGAATTTAGCGAGCTTTTGCCCAGAACTCTAAACCTAAGCGGTAGATCAAGTTCTCTTCGTGCCAGCCTTTGATAATGGTGAAATCTCTCTGGTAAACTTGCAAATGCCTGACAACTTCCCTCTGCAACAAAAGGTGCATGCCTGGGAAAGAGAGGAGAGGGGCAACTCGGAGGAATGCTGTTGAACACGCAGATGGCCACTGTAAGCCCCACACCCTCCAGAAATGGCAACGGTTCTGGTCTGTTACTTGATCGTGCTTGCCTTTATATGGGCAGCAAACTGCAAAGAAATTAATTTCTTACATTTTTTGTGATACCTTTTTAAAAAGGTCATTTCTCACTCCCACCCCAGACATTCCTCCTGCTTTAACATCTGGCAAATATCAAGCTTTTTCTCTGCTGTGGATCGCAAGCTAATGTGATGATGAATAGCGTGTTTTGTTTCTCACAGCTATTAGTCAGCCCAGTTTCTGGATTAGTTTTTGATCTTCCTGGGGCGTAAGCATTTCAGTGGCCCTTGTGGGATGGTAGCTTTTTCTGATGAGCAGTGTAATTTTAAAAAAGCAGAAGCCAAAGTCTCCACTGGAGAAACTAGAACCATTTGAGACCCTTTACATTGCAGTCACCGTGTCTGATCTTAGCTCCTGCAGTCTGGCATACGTGAAACTGTGTCATTAGCATTTACATTTTGCCTTCTGCACCAAAATCTGCTTGAGGGTAAAAACTATTTGGTGTCTCCAAACAACTATCCAGTATGCTGCTTTCTGCTTGAGGAGGAGGAGGTGGTTATAATAATGCTAGTAACATGCTAACTAGGCTTTTTCTTTTTAATTTTAGCTGCTGACAAACTAATAAAAATTTGGGGAGCGTATGATGGCAAGTTTGAAAAGACGATATCTGGTCACAAACTGGTAAGTATTGAACCCAAGCGAATGTTCTGCACTCCGGCATCATTTCTAAACACCTGTCCTTTCAGATTGCAAATGGAACTCGGTACTTTTTTCTGCTGCTTGTATAATGCAAAGGGTTCGGTTTCCTTTGTTCACCCCCCTGAAGTCCTGGTATAATGAGTGGGGGAAACTAGTTGGTTGTTTTGTGTCCCTCAATGAGTTGCCCCTGCATGGGCAATTCTTCCAAATAGTTGGAAATAGTCTTCCAAATAGTTCTGTGAGAGCGATGTTGCTCAGGAACCGGAATAGGCAAGGTGTTGCAGGCCAGGATTGATGTTTATGGGTGGAAACATGACTGCTGATAAAACTCTTGAATGCTGGACAGCTGGGTTTTCACCTAGGACAGTGCAAGTTGGAGTATTTTGCTTTCTGAATTTGCCTCGGGCGTTATTCAGAAGTCTTCATATGGACAGCTGATGTTTTGCATGACTTCACCCACTTGAAGTTTCATAATACTAGATTTTACTTTGGGAAATGTATATTTTTGAAAAATAACACTTACCCTTCCACAGTCAGCTAGCTGTCATTGAAACCCCTTGGGGTTAGTTCAGTAAGATTCTAGGTCATCAAGGGTTTGTTACTTGTGTGCTTTTGAAAATGTAACCCTGGGTCACTTAGGCAATAAAAAAAAGGGAAATGAATCCATCCCAGTTCATGCGTCAAGTTACTACTTACAAACCTCAAAAAGGTGACCAGATCTGAGAGTAATTAACATGCTTGCAGTGCGAGTAGATGAAGCAGCTGGGATTTGCATATCTTCCCAAAATTCAAATAACTGTTTTTGCTTTTCTGGCTTCAGATATCCATTTAATAAGCCGTCTCTGCCTTCCATGTTTTGATGTCACAGAGCAAGCAGAGATCTGCATCAAACTGTGTTCCTTTGTTTCAGGGCATCTCTGATGTTGCTTGGTCATCAGATTCCAACCTTCTTGTGTCTGCCTCAGATGATAAAACTCTCAAAATATGGGATGTGAGCTCGGTAAGGGCAGGAGTTAAGTCTTATCTCTCGCCTCTCCACTGTTCTCTCTTGGGGCTTTTTAAAAATGTAGGGTGATGAGCTAGACAGGCTAAGATGGTTGCAGGGAGAATTTCAAAGTACTGGCTTCTACTTGGGCACGTGCATTGATGATCGTACCAGGTAACCCTGAGCAGCTGTTCATACGCAGAGGATGAAAATGTTGTGATCTCCAGAAGGAACGTGCTCTGCCTGCTGAACATGGGAAGCAAGGCTCTCTTGAGAGCTGCATCCTGCCAAAACTCATAGGTGGTGATAGTAACCAGATGCCAGGCTTTGCTTGAGAGAGCTCCCACTGAAACATTTTGTCATGTAACTTTTTCATTGTTCAGTTGGTTTTCTTTCTGCATTAGCAGTGTGAAGGAGCTAGGTGGCTTCACTTTGTTGCTAATCACTTTCTAACCTCCTGGATCTCATGCACTGCTATGCTAGTGCAGAGTTTGGATGGTAAACACAACAGAAGTGTTGGTTGTTTTTCTCCTAAATGTTCTGTCCCATAAAAGCTCGTCCTTATCAAAGGTTACAGTTTGACCTTTGACTGACATTGTCCCTTTACATCTGAAATCAAGTGACCGTCTCTGAAGCTGTAGAAAGGTATGGGTAAACATAATAGATCAGTAAATCCATACAACTGAAATCTTTCTTTTAAGGGCAAGTGTTTAAAGACGTTGAAGGGGCACAGTAACTATGTCTTCTGCTGCAACTTCAACCCCCAGTCCAACCTCATCGTTTCAGGATCAGTAAGTAAACATTTCCTCAATGGGGTAGCAATTTTGTGCAACTTTCAGAGGTGTGGCCCATCTTAAACATTTATCCAATAATGTATCACCTGGGATGGAAATGACAGGGAGTTAGCACCTCTGCTCCTATCTTGGGTGCAGTCAGATCTGGCAGCACTCTGTAGAAAGACAGATGATCATTCAGAGCACCCTTAAAGTTGGAGATGGGTCTTCATTCTTTCTGACTTGGAGCAGGCTGTGTTAGTGGCAAGCTTATTTACCTACTTGGTTGCAAAAACTTTGTTAAGCTTTAAGCACCACTCCAGCCCTGCTTTGGAATTGAAGCTGCCTTTGTTGGTATTACAGAGTCTAAGTGGTGCCTGTGTCTCTTTTGGGGACTGTGACCATTTCATGCTAGGTCACCGCATCACTGAAAAGCATATTTTTTGATGCGTTTGACAGCTTAGTCTGGAACTAGGCAACATTATGCTGGTAGCATAGAAATGAACTAGGAGATGGGATTCTTTTATGTCTGTTTTCTGACTCTGGGCAGGTCATCTGACCTCATGTATTCTGTTTAACTGGGGGCAAATTCTAGATCCTTACACGAATTTGAACCTAACGCTGATCTTTCCAGGTCTTAAAGCCCAAAGCATGAATGTAGGGATTTAACTTGGCCTCCTTGACATTCTCACCTCCATGAGATACTGTTGGCATCTAACTGTGAATAGGAGTTAGGTGAAAGTTTCCCTCGCTTCCAAGCAGAAGTCAGTCCAGATGTTTGAGAGATGCTGTTATGCCTAGTTCCTGCACAGTGAAACCTGTTAATCCATGCGTGAGGGCCAGGTGGTAACAAAAGATTACATTTCCCTGTAGCTCGGGAGCAAATGCATTTGCAAATAACTGATGAATTCCTCTTCTGATCCTCAGTTTGACGAAAGCGTGAGGATATGGGATGTGAAAACAGGGAAGTGCCTCAAGACGCTGCCTGCTCATTCTGACCCAGTTTCTGCTGTAAGTCCCTTCAGATAAATTAACATGCTGACATGTTTGCTTCCATCCAGCAGGGCTTCTTTCCTGCTCGGAAAAAGGAAGCGAAGTCGCACAGTTAGTTCCCATCCACCCTTGACATCGTGAGAGATATGGGCTGTGATAGTTTGCAAGGGTATTAATCAACATGGAGATGCCACCACCAGAACAGATTGCTGTCTCTTGGTATTAATGCAAGAAGCATCTGATAAGTGCACACAGGCTTGCTAAGGCTCTGGCAGCCAGACACTGGAGCACAGACTGGGAGCTCTCCAGGCTGCTCACAACGCAGAGCATGAACTTGCTGCATGTGTGGGTTGCTGCATTGCACTAAACCAGGTAGCTTCAAAATGCGTGTCATTGTCAGTCTTACCCGCTTAATGGGTGAAAGGGTAAAACAGTGTTTGTACAAATGGGGAAAACAGCAGGTGAGCAGCTCCTAACAGACACAAACCTTTTAAAGTGGAGGAAATGGAGGTGAGCAGCATTCTAAGGTTCAGGCATCTTGAGCCTCTGCTGTTGTGAACGCATGACTCCAAAACTGGAAACGGAGGACAGTTCCTAGGAGATAAGTGCACAATTTCCTCTTTAAAGGTTTACCTGGATGCACATGTGTAAAGGATTTTATGGTTAAAATACACTGGTTTTGTGTTTGAAGAAACTAAGTGGGTCTCATTGAAGTGTGTATGAATTGGTGTGCCTAAAAGCTGTGCTCATAACTGTCAAGTGCCATTTCGTTGTGGTCCTACTACTGTGAGTAATGTTCCTAATGAGAGTTGAGCGGCTTCAGATGTCTGTGTTTTTTAGGCCTCTTATGTCTAGTGATCGTTTGGAAAATGTTTACTAAATCTCCTTGGCTCAGCGTAACAGGTGGGCATGTTCTAGATGTAAAATAAATGGAGTTTTGCAATGGTAACTCATTAGGAAGATTCCTGTGATACTTTTTTTTATATGCATCTGAGCTGTTGAAACATTGTGCCCATCAGTTGAATATCATGTTGAATTACTGCTGCTATCTCTATAAACCACAGTTTAACTTTGTGAGAGTTGTAACCTTCAGATGCAGTGTCTTGCCCTTGGGGCTCAAATAGTTTTGCTCTAAATATGTGTGAATACAGCTCTTTTTTTTCCCCTTGCCCAAAACTACAGGTGCATTTTAATCGTGATGGGTCCCTGATAGTGTCAAGTAGCTATGATGGCCTCTGGTAAGTGATTATTTCTTTAGTAAGCCTTATCTGCCATAGCCTTCTCAGCTTCTTACATAAGTGAAACTAAAATAATAAGGCAGTTTTTATTATTATTATTATTATTATGCTTCTATGCTGCATTTGAAATTAAAATGTAAGCTTGTAAGTTGTTGAGAGAAGCTTTTTCATAAGCTACAGTGAAGACTTGTTTTTTTTAATCTTTTTATTAAAGTCGAATCTGGGATACAGCATCGGGCCAGTGCTTGAAAACACTGATTGGTAAGTAGGGAGACTTCTTGTCTGTCTGTGCTTAGTTTTTCTGCTATGTAACTTTGCATCTGAAATATCTTGTATCTATATATGAATATGCAACAGCAGTGAAGTCGACTAAGGGCGGGGAGGGGGTTTGTAAGCTTTGCTTTCCATATCTTGCTGTATTTATGTACTGTCATCCTGGCTGTTGATGTAAAGGGAAATACCTTCTCTCATTCTCTCTTTTATACTAGAAAAACTGTTTAGGTTTGGTATGCTGCACTGCATATGTTGAGACTCAGTCTGGTACCTGTAAACCATGGTTCTCCACCAGTCAATGTAATATTATGTTTTATGGTGCAACTGTTCACAAATCCTGTGGGAAATCCTTATTTTACACTAGCTGACATGATTGATGGAAACTCGCATGTCCCGTGCAACGGAGAAGTGTGTCTTTATGACAGTTGGAGAATACTGTTTTCTCCAAGACATGGTCACTGGTTACAGAACAGCACGTGTGAATGATTTTTTTTTTCTTTAGCTGTACAGCTTGAATGCTTCATGCCATGGAAGCTGGGTCTCCAGTGTTCCTGTGAAGTGACATTAGCAAATTGATTTTCTAGTGTTGAAAATAGCCTTCTAGTATAAAGGCTCCTGAAATTCCTAGCCACTTCTGTATTAGCATTCTTAAGGAGCTGGAGACAGAAGGTTGGGTTACAATGGATTAATATTAATGGATTAAATATACAGAATCCTCTTCCTGAACTATTTGTCCCTACCACTTTCCTGCCAACTGCCTGAAGTCCCAAATGGTGGACGAACAAAATATATCCAAGCTTGAAGTTGCTGCTTTTTTTCCTGTAACCTACTTTATACAAGTACAACTTGCAAGGAATGCTCTATCGCTGAGAATGCATAACACGTTTTTATTTTCAACGCAGATGATGATAACCCTCCTGTGTCTTTTGTGAAATTCTCTCCAAATGGCAAATACATTCTAGCAGCAACTTTGGACAAGTAGGTGGTTTTAAAACGTGTTCATCAGCTTAGGGTGAAACCTTATTATTCTGCTGTTTGTAATGCTGCGTGATGCAGATGGGTAAATTCCTACCTGCTGTCAAATGGATATTACCAGTTTCATTCTGCAGTTGGGCTTGCTTGGTGGCAGAGGCAGAACTTGATGCTGTTGTAGGGCTTGGCACTGTACACAGTACCTCTGTGTACTTTAATTCCTGTGCAAAACTTACTATGAAGGAGCCCCTGCATGAATCCAATGGTTCTTTTTGTTGTAGCATAGAGGTGAGGAGAAACTCTCTTAAAAGGATGCATATGGAGAAATAGCTGCGAGTATAAAGTGCAGGAGCTGTGCAGGTGGATGGCTTCTGTTGAGCGTTCTCCAGCTGGAGCAGTTCCAGTGCCACTGCTAGCGAGTGCTCAGCCTCTGTCCTCTCTACCCATGTGTATTCATTGCCGCTGCTGTAACAAGACCCTCCTGTCCCTAAGTGAACAGCCTGGTGACAAGCTGGTTATCTGTGAATACAAGGCATTACTTGACTGACTATCCCCTTTTTCAGACTAAGTGAAGATAAAAGAAAAACTTTCAATGAAGCTGACTTGAGGCTTATTTTATAAGCCTTTTCAAAATATGGATCAGCAGCGTGGCCTTTATTTTTGAACGTGAGTGAGGGTTTCTCTCCTTTTGCGTGAGAGACGGAGACAGATCCCTGCCTGAAACCTGTGACTGACATCTTGCAGCCTCTGGATTCTGCTTGAATGCTCTCTCTTGCCCAGTCTTTGACCTGGGATAAATTTGAACTGCAAACTGAGGTCTCTGCATTACTAATCCCTTCACCTATCTAGATGCAGAGCTGTACTTTAAAAGCAGTGATGGAAAATGCTTTGTGGCCTTTACAGACCGTGACATAGAAGTTAATCTAAAAAGGGTAGGAGAAGGGATGTGGGGTTGCAGAGCTCTCTGCAATTCTGGTTTGCTTTCCCATTGTACAAAAGACTACAAGAAGCAGCTGACTTTTGGATGTGTCACAGTTAAGAGTTTCCAGCCAGTGTCTTTGCACACCTTGAGTTGTCTGTCACATCCTTTAAGGTGAAGGATACTGGCAGGAAAAATGGATTTTAAAAATTTTGCTCTGTTCCCTCACCCCATGCAGAAGCCTATGAATGACAAGTAAATAAAACCTTGTATTTGTTGAGTGAGCTGAAATCCTGCCTTCCAAAGTCAGACTAATGTAGTCAGATCACTGTAGACGTGGGGTCCTCTTCTGGTACAGAGAAGCCTTTATGTACCAAGAGATTCATATTGGGAGATGAAGCAGCCTAAAATCTTTTTTTTTTTTTTTCCTTTTCCTTTTATTCTTTAGCACTCTAAAACTTTGGGACTACAGCAAAGGAAAGGTAAATATAACTCTGTCTTTTGCTATTGAAAACCTAGCTGGGTTTGTAGCAGATTCTGGGTGGTTACACAAAGTTAAGCATTTCCCCTCTACTTTATTCAGTATAATTATGGTCAGTAATTGCTAGATGCCCTGTTGTCTAGTGGCAGACTTAAGATATTTAAAAGTTCCCTTTACATTATGGCCCAGTCCTGAGATGTTTTAACTTTGTTTCCTGTACTGTTTAAGCGCTGTTGCCCTTTCTTTCTCTGTAGGGATGTGACAAATTGGACCTCTTTTTCTTAGCACTGCGATTGTTTAAATGTTCGAGGGCAGAGATGCCCTCTGCATCCTTTGGACAAGTTGGTAGGATAGGGAACACACAGACATATTTAGGCTGCCCTGCAAAGAAAGTTTGTCCTTGAGTGCTAGATATCTCTTTTCCCAGCTGCACTTAACAGTTTTGCTTTATGGCCCTTTATTTTCAGTGCCTGAAGACATACACAGGTCACAAGAATGAGAAATACTGCATATTTGCAAACTTTTCTGTTACTGGTGGCAAGGTCAGTATTTTTGCAGCTTGTTTTTTATGATGTGTGCTTCTCAGGTTTTCTCCGTCACAGCGGGAGATGAGATGTAAGCCTCCATTGCTTTCTAACTCAAGAAACAAAAACTTGTTTTCTCTTCTGGCCTAAACTAGTGAGTGGGGGTGGAACCTCTCAGTAAATCAAATGATAGGAGTAATGTGACAAACATGGAAAGGATTATAACGCAACCTTCAATAACTATTCCTTTTTTTTTTTTTCCCCCTTTCCTCCCCCTGCTCAGTGGATCGTATCTGGTTCAGAGGACAACCTGGTTTATATCTGGAACCTCCAAACAAAAGAGATTGTACAGAAATTACAAGGGCACACAGGTACGAAACAAGTTTTCTTTTCCTTTTTATGACGGATAAAACATTTCCAAATAAATAACGAGTACAACTGAGTTTCAAGACAATCCAGTGATGTACACAAGAACCACTGTTTTTTTTTTTTTCCTCTTCCTTTTCTTTAAGGTAAACTTTAAACTGGTCTCATTGTTCAAACTCTCAAAAGATGGCTCAGCGTGAGACATTATTAGGGTTCTTAGTGGGTTTTTCTTAATATCTGGGCATTTTTAGGGGAGAGAGTGGTTTGTTTTAAGGGTATAAATGGAGTCATTCTGATTACCTGGAATTGATTGTAAGGAAACTGGCCCAAATACTTTTAAAGTGTCTAGAGATACCGAGTGCCTCAAGCCAAATCACTTTTTGAATATCTCAGCCAGCAACTTCCCCCAAATTACCACCCCCCAAGGAGTTCCAGATGCACATGCCACAACGCTAATGCAAATACTGCTGAGGAATACCCACCTTAAGTACTGCCTTGGTGAATTTATTTTCAGCGCAGTAGGTGGGAACCCAGTTGTATGCTATGGGATACCTAGTATATCCATGCCCCCAATGCAGTGAGCGAGCCCCATTGGATATGCCTGCTCAATTCTCTGTGTGCTCACTAGTGCTCAGTAATTACCGGACCCTGAAGAACAAAGTTATGGGAAAAATTATGACTATTAAACTCCTCCTTGAGAACCTGCTGTAAAAATCCATACTAACTCAGCTGGGGTTGTATGTGAAGACGGGGCAGCAAGACGGTCCCTGTCAAGGGCTGGAAATGCCTGCTGCAAACTAGCGTGAATTGTTTTCTCACTGATGATGATGGTCTCTCTCTCTCTACTTAGACGTTGTGATCTCCACAGCCTGCCACCCCACAGAAAACATAATCGCATCAGCGGCACTAGAAAACGACAAAACAATTAAACTGTGGAAGAGTGACTGTTAAACGTTTTCGATATCACTTTAGAGACTGTCGGCAAAATTTTGTTTTTAAAAAAAAAAAAAGAAATGGAAAAAAAAATAACCCCACTCAACGAGAGTAAAAACCCCAGTTTGGCAGAAAACCTGAAGAATATTTGCGAGAGAGGTTTCTGTTAGTCTTGGTCCAAAGAAAACATCTTTAGCGTCTTGCTAGAACGGGGCAGCGCAGTGGAAAAAAGATGAAGCGTCTCCTTTCCTTGCCTGGTCGCTTGGCAGACCTGGATTGTTCTGAGATGGCGTTAGAAGTGTCAGCCTTGTATTGGAAGCCCCAAAGATATACTGTACTGTGTGGTAGCATTATTCCTTTGGTCTCTTGGTGCTGCTTAAGGAAAAGCTGCCGGTCTGGTTTGTAACAGTAAGTTAAGTTGTGAGCCTAGATTTTTTTTTTTTTTTTTTTTTTTTTTTTTAATGTCTAATTTTTTAATTTGTTTTGCAGGAGAGTAGGTTCTAGTCTCTCGGAAGTTTCTTTTCAATGTTTTAAATAGGGGTACTGCGTCTTGGACGATGCTTCATTTCAAACATGCAGCTCAAATTTTGTGACCAAATAATAAAAACCATGCAGTTTCAGATCTTCCCCTTCCTGCCCCTGACTTCAGACTCCTGTGACAAAAATCTCTCCTCTTACTTCTGTATAGTTGCTTACCTCTTGTTCTGTGTGTTTAATAGAAGCTGTTATAGAGCAAAGTTACAGCTCTTCTGTTAACCATTAAAATGATTCCTGCTTGTAGTTGTTCTCGGTATATTTTAACTTTTTTTTCCTCTTCTTGGAAAAAAAAAAAGAAAAAGTTGACAGAACAGTGTAAAATTTATTTCAATGAAAAAAAAAAAAAAGAAACGATTTTGTATCTTGGAAATTCCTCGTATAGAACTGTATCACTCATGGCATGACTCTGTATCTATTTCAGCGTCGGTATTTCTTCCCCTTTTTGTCACACTACTGTGGTATTTACACATCAAAGCCAGTACCATATGCCATAATAAAGAGGTGGGATTTTATGTGTATGTTGGTGGTTTAAGATTTGCACTGTTGTGAAGTGTTCACATTGTTTCAGCTCCTAGGTTTACTTGCAGGAAGCGTCCTCTCTCCTTCTCTAGCTGTTTACAAGATCGTTGAGCAAATCCTCATCAAGCAGGGCCTGGAGTCCATCTTGGGCGAGGGAGGATGAGTATCCATCCTTCTAGGCAAAGTTCACATGAAGATGAAATCCACGTCAGAGTCCTCCAAGTTGATGCGACATGGCTCTGCTCGGAGGCTAGTCTCTTCCCGAAGGTGAAAGCACTTCCACTGCTCCTGCTGACTGGTTGGGATGCGGTAGGGAGCAGACATCTCTACTAATAAAGAATAGTACGGGGGTACTGTACCGCTAAAGCTTTCTTGCTGTGGCTACTCCCAGCATTGTGCTCTGAAGCAGCCTAATGTGATGAGCTGGGGGGGAAACAATCCTGCTAGCTACACTTACACCACCTGGGTCAGCAGGAGGCCTCAATGTAACATTAGGTAGGAGTTAGGCACCAGTTTGCTATGAGGACTTATAGCTACAAGTTCAGCTCAAACCTCATCTGATAGAAGTGACACCGTAAAGTGCAACTCGAATCAGCAACTCCAAACACACCAGCTCATCTACTTGTGTCCATTCCCCTCTCTTCTTACCAAAGATCGTACAGCAGTGCATGGTAAGAAGGGCTTGATCTCAAGGATTTTGCAAGTGCGTGAATGACAGTAGAGGTGAGCTGTATTTTGTAAGCCCTGACACGCACAGCACCGTGTGCGTGGGGTGATGCAGGAGTGTTTGGGCCTTGAGGGTATATGCTGCAGCCAGTGTGTACTCTGCAAATTAGTTGGCTTGTGTCCTGCATGAATGACTTAAGCTGAGAAAGGAAAAAGGAATACATTGCCCTTCCCTCTATGTTGTATTTGCTCAACCGGGGGTCAGCTGTTCTTTCGTAGAGTAGCTAGACAGGGGCTAAACCTTTACAAGCAAGCAATTAATCTAATGGGTTTCTGAGCCCGGACACCACAAGAAAATAAACGGTCTGACATTTTCTATTCCAAACAGCAAGCAAATTGCTGGCGGAGGGGTCGGTACAAGGGTGTTAGGTTTCGGGGGAGCGGCGGGGTGGGGCTCTGTATTCATTGCTGACAAGCAAAGCTGCTTTTTCCTTGTGGATAAAACATCAAGGGAAGTGGTGGCCTCAGCTGACGTTCTCCTCCTTCCCCCTTTTGTACAGTGGGTTGTCCATCTGATGCCACTTGAGTACTTTGGGAGTGCTTTTAGACTGTGGGCCAAAGGGGAAGACAATGTGGCAAAGCACCGGGGCAGGATGTTGATGTAGCCACCCATTCTGAAAGCGGGGGGATTAGCGCAGGCACTCCAGGGATCTCAGGGCACCAAGTTGTAGCCCTTCAAATACATGGTTTCCTGCTCATTGTAGCCGTAATTTCTGGGATGGAACAGCTTTCCCCGCTAGGTTTTCCAGTAAAGGGTCTGCGCCGTGTCATCCTAGCCTGCAGGGAATGAGCAAGAACTCTTGTCTTAGGTACTGGTCTGGTCCCTATTACTATAGTGTCTGAACACCTCTGGTTTTAATGCATTTGCCTTTGCACCACCGCTGAGAAGCAAAGCAGTGCTATTATTCCCATTTTACAGATAGGAAATGGAGGCACAGAGCAGTCAAGAGATGTGCTGAGGTTACCCAGGAGGGCTGGAAGGAGGGGTACAGTAAACCTGTGCCTCCCTTCTAGTCCTTGAGCCCCGGACTGGGCTCCTGAGAGACTTATTTGATCTTCAACCACACGGGCAGCGTGCTGGAGGTTTTAGACGGCAATTAGCTCTGAATTCAATCTGAAATGGTTCTCAGCTCCTTAACAGAAGTATTTCTATTACCGTGATGTTCCAAGGTCCTATTCATGTGGTATATGCACAAATACTGTCTGGTTTCTCTTCTGAATGCTCTCAATTTTCAGTCACCCTTTGCCAGCAGTAGGACTGTTTCTTTGGTCTTGGTACAAAATAAACACAACTTTTGCCAGGCTGCCTCCCGGTGTGTTTTGCCACAGCCGACAGTCCCGTGCTGCAGCGTAGCAGGACTGCTGGGATGAGGTAGTGGGTGCTTTGAGCCGGGGGGGAAGGACTAGAGCAGCGGTTTTCAAGCTGTGGGCTGCAGACTCTATCCAAGGAGTCCACGAAAGACAACTATGATCAATCAAAAGTATGTGAATACCCACACTTACTATTCAAAGGGGTCCGCAGCTCCATTCAAGATTTTTTTAGGGATCTGCAAATGAAAAAAAGGTAGAAAACCACTGGACTAGATGACCGGAGGTCCCTTCCAACCCTTATTTTCTATGGTTCTAGGACTAGGCGTCATTTGGCTGCGTCCAGATGAGCATCCGCGGTGCCACATGCTGCACAATCAGCTGTGCTCCGAGCTGCATGGTAATCTGGGAGTAGGGGGGTTGACCCCTGGATATCTGGGGGTCAAAACCCATGCCAAAAAAAATCAGAGCAGTGCATGCTGGAGTAGCGTGTGCTGCTCAAAGCGAGCCTGGCTAGCCAGAGCCACACTCCAGCTCCCGGCCAGGCTCTGAGCGGCAGGATCCTCATGGCTGCAGCCTCAGGAGGACCCCAGGTAAGGCAGCTGGGACCAGCACAGTTGCTGGCCCCAGCCTCCCGCACCCCACCCAGGGTAACCTGTGGCGTGCCAGAGGGCACGTGGCACAGACGGTCCCCGGGGCCAACCAGCAGCGGCACAAGGTGTCCTCCTGCTAGCTGTCCCGGGAGCACCAAACGTCTGCACTCGTGTGGACACACCCGGCCTTCATTCAGCTTTGGGGCAATCCTAAAGAAGTGCTTTCTGAAAGCAAAACAAAACCAAAAAAAAATCCCTCACTTTGGTTTAAAGACATTGGGGTCAATGGTGTTGGCACACGTGGAAAGGCGGCACCGTGGGAAATCCACGTGTGCTGCCTGCAGGAGGGCTGCGAGCGGCTGGAGAAACCCGTGCTTGTGGTGTGTACCAGAAGGAGAGCGCAAAAACGTGGCTGGAAAGGTTTACATTACAAAAAGGTAAAAATGGGGGGCACAAAAAAACTTGGTTAGATGCCACGAAGTAAGTGGCAATGCCTTAACCATATGCGTGTTGTATAGGCCACTAGGACCTCTTCCATCCTTATCAAGGGGAGTGCTAACCTTCTCTCCTTTCATACAACACACCAGCAAGGGCTCGGCCGGATGCTTTTAAAGCACCTGCCCTTCCAATTTTTCAGATTATGGTGATTATAATACTCTACTAGAAATAGTTTCCAGATGTATTATTTCACTGCCAAGAAAGAAGAAACGATTCATTTAGCCCTTATATAGTTGAATAAAGGATTATTTTCATTTGTGAGTCCGGTTTAGAAACATAACAAGCCACCGCGGTTAGGAAAACGACAGGGTGGCTGGTTTCCGGGTCTCTAATATATTCATCTTCGGCAACCAATCAGAAGGCAAAATTCGAAATCCAGGTGCTAAAATTGAATGGATAATAAAAGGCTTGAAAATAGCCTCTCCCGAGGCTGCCTAGTGCCTCGTCATGAAACAAAGCCACCCCGAACACAAGCCGGAAAATCTCGACGAATCAGTCGCTCTGAAACAGGAGAGAGCTTTTTATGCGCCATCTTGGGAGTGGCAGTGGCGTGGCTCATGCTGCCTCACCCAAGATGGCAACCATAGAAGGGGGGGGAGGTACCCTAGATAAACGGTTCGAATCCCTGGTGGGGCACAAACCCACTGTTATAGTCATAGCAGCAAACCACTAATTATTAGTTTTTTTAATTTTCTCTTGATTTGGTTGCTGATGGCACTGCTCGTGTTTCCCAGGGAATCTAGAGCTCAGGTTGGCACGAGTTTTTTTTTTTGCACCGCAAGGCAGCTTTTTTCCATGCCTGCTGCATTGGCGCTGAGCTATAGCGGGCAGCATGGCCAAGCTGCCAATGCCTCTGCCTGCAGTGGGGGGAACTGATCACAATTACTCCTGATTTGCAGATTTACTCCCCATTTGCTGGTTCCCCAGCATTGACCTGGGGAACCCTTGGCTTGGTGCAGATAAGCCTATATGGGCCCAGAGGATAGAAAATCTGCAAGAATAAACGCCCAGCAGTGTCACAGCTCATGCCGCCTCCTCTGTATCCAAAGCAGAGTTGCACCGATTCATATGCTGAGCTTTACACAAATGCACAACGCGGGGTCTTGGGGCTTACAGCAGATTTCTTTCCCCCCATGATACTAGAAAATATTCATTCTTACTCCACGCAGTAGGCACCTCCTGCAGAAAAGAAATCCAGGACCATTTCCACTCATCCTGTGCTGACCTTTCTGTATGAAGATGCTCTCTTGACCGGCGAGAGTCAAAGACGGGGCTTCGGAGATTACGATTTGTCTTGCGTCATCCGCTAAGTGCTGGTGACAAGCCAGGGATGGAGCCCAAGAGGCACGAACGATAACGATGGCATAATGCCTACCTCCCGCCACTCATTAACTGAACGGCTTTGGGAGTCACCGGGAGGAAACGCAAGGCTGTGTCGCATTAAACTGTGGCTTTAATATTCTGGATGCTCACAGAGACGTGCTCGGCAGCAAGCGACGTGAAACACGAACGTCTGACGGTTGCCAAAAAACCCACGGTTCGGAGCCAACAAACATTTCGGAGGCGAGCAAGCCTTGTACTGGTTTTTGCCCCTAAAGTATTTGCAATAAAGTCGCCTTCGGCTGTCCCAGACAGTTGACCCGTTCAATGGGAGGGATTTGCCTGAGAACGGGAAATTAGTGCCATGGGATAAGTTATGCCTCTGTGGGGGGATGAGCTGTAAGAAGGATTTACAGGCAAAACCATCTAATCTGTGCACGGTTTATCCATCCTTCTGGGTATCCCAAAGGTTTAAAGTGAGAACATGAAAGTCCCAGGGATTTGCAAATCCAAGTTTTCTCAAATCGAGGCAGGGAGGCAGTGGGTTAACGGAT